TGGGTCAACCTTCGTTCAATATGCATCCGTATCAAAGAGCAGGGCCTCACTCATTTAGAATTTGCACAGTGCGCCCCACCCCACATGGGGCGGCCCTGTATTCAGACAGAAATAAAGACCCTGTGAAGGTCGAGCAGGAAGGAGGCGGGTTCTAAGCTCCTGAGAGTAACATTTTATCACAGACCTGATAAACTGGTGAGTGTGGTTATCCACGGTGAATAAAAGGCCACAGATGGAGGACGGATCCAAAAGCAGCATTAATAGCCCGACTCAGAGGAGAAAGCTTCATCTATGGACGTATTCCGAGGTCTAATGAAAATAAATTACATTTTAGGGTACTAAGGAGGGGTCTTTAACCCTGAAGAATCCAAACTGTGATCTTTGGGGGGAGGCACTTGTGGTGCAGAAGGGACTGGTGTAATTCCCAACAGACAGGAAACTTATAAGGAAAGCATGTTATCAACCAGGACGTTTAAGTTTGGAATCGGTCTGTAAAGTTGGTTAAAACTTTTCAAAACCAATAATATATAATTTAGAAAGTGGCTTCATTTAATTCTGGGTAAGAATTAGATGAAGAAAAAGGTGTTTTCAAAAAGATTCATAACTTTTTACATATTTTGTTTCATCATCTTTCTTATTGCCTTCCAAATGAAACCACAAAGAGTACTTCCAATGCCAACTGCTAAGAAACTTATTAGGGATCTAGTCCTAATAGTGTCATTCTACACCACGCAAACACTTTGTCTGCGCCGATGAAGGTTTTCTCACCTTGGCCGGCTGAATACTTGTAGAGGCTTACACAGTTGGGGCTAATTTTCAGGGCTTTTCTGTTGATATTTTATATTTGTTGTTTTATTCTGAAGACTAAATTTTAGGCCCAAGATGGTTGTGTGATAGTTTAGTGAAGAAAAGCAAATTATCTAAATTAAGATCCATTTTTTCAACAACTGTTCTCCCAGTTAAAACTGTCTAAAATGAACAGGATGTACGCAGACTAGACAACATCAGAAACACATCTAGAAACAACCATGTCCCCACTGTCACGACGAGCAGAGTAACTTTCTCTGCTCTTTCTACATGGGGGAAAACCTAAGAATGAAAAAGCTGTTTTATATTTCCCACATCATTAAATAATCACCCCCTTCTAACCAAAAAAACATCTTTGAATCTTTCAAGCAGAGATGTTCAGAGGATCTCTGATTGGACTACAACTTGTATGTTTTGGCTTCGAGCTGAATCGATCTTCATCAAGCACAGCGATGCAAATCCACATCATGATACTGCCACCACCGTGTTTGAAAGTGTGCAGCATTGTTTTTTGCTGTAATGTTTCTTCTTAAAGGTTCTAGCCTGGTTCTTTTTGTTGGAATTAAAGGAACAGCACTAGACTGGTTTAAATCTTATCTATCTGATCGAATTCAGTTTGTTCATGTTAATGATAGATCTTCAACACGCTCAAAGGTTACCTGCGGAGCACCACAGGGATCAGTGCTAGGACCAATTCTCTTTACTTTATACATGCTCCCAATTGGTAGAGTTATTAGACAGCATGGGATTAATTTCCACTGTTATGCTGATGATACCCAGCTATATCTGTCTATAAATCCAGATGAAGCTAACCCATTACATAGATTACAGGCATGTCTTGAAGACATAAAAACCTGGATGACTCTTAACTTTCTGCTTCTGAATGCAGACAAAACAGAAGTTATAGTCTTTGGACCAGAGTCTCTGAAAAAGAAGCTGATTAGCCAGTCACTTCATTTGGATGGGATTAAACTGATTTCAGATAATAAAGTAAAAAATCTTGGTGTTATTTTTGATCAGGACCTGTCATTTAAATCCCATATCAAAGAGGTTTCTAGAATTTCCTTCTTTCATCTGAGGAACATTGCAAAAATTAGAAATCTCCTGTCCAGGGGTGATGCTGAGAAACTAGTCCATGCATTTGTTACTTCAAGGCTGGACTATTGTAATTCTTTACTATCAGGAAGTCCACAAACTGTAGTTAAAAGCCTTCAGCTGATCCAAAATGCTGCAGCCAGAGTTCTAATGAAAATGAAAAAGAGAGATCATATCTCTCCTATCCTGGCTTCTCTTCATTGGCTTCCTGTTAAATCAAGAATAGAATTTAAAATCCTCCTTCTCACATATAAAGCCTTAAATGGCCAAGCTCCATCTTATATCAGAGATCTGATTGTTCCTTATGTTCGTAACAGAGCACTTCGCTCTCAATCTGCAGGTTTACTAGTGGTTCCTAGAATTTCTAAAAGTAGAATGAGAGGCAGATCTTTTAGTTATCAGGCTCCTCTCCTGTGGAACCAACTACCAGTTTTAGTCCGTGAGGCAGACACCCTGTCTACTTTTAAGGCTAGGCTTAAAACTTTCCTTTTTGATAAAGCTTATAGTTAGGGTGGCTCAGGTTATCCTGAGCTATCTCTATAGTTATGCTGCTATAGGCTTAGACTGCTGGAGGACATAGGGACCCCCATTTCATCATTCTGCTTCATTCTCTCTCTGTTCTCCTATTCTGCAGAATCTGTTAGTTCAATCTCTAACGTTCTGCTCTCTCTGCTTTTTCTCAGAGTAGCTTTGCCTCGTCTGTTCCTGTTTGGCTGTGACTCCATCCTGAAAAGAAACATCAGCTGTGCTGCTTCCATCAACACCCTTGTTTATAGATGTTGGAGATCGGCCTGTTTTCCAGTGTGGTCCTGTTTCTCTGACCGTGACTGAGTGGATGTGCTCTCTTCGTCCTCTGACATGGGAGCTGGCTCGGAGCTCGTCTGCCTGGCTGTGTGTTTCCTGGACGGGGCCACCTTTTACAGCTGCTTTTTTTATGTCTGCTTCTGTCTCCTTGAACCCCAGTCGGCCTCGGCAGATGGCCGCTCACACTGAGCCTGGTTCTGCTGGAGGTTTCTTCCTGCTAAAAGGGAGTTTTTCCTCTCCACTGTCGCTACAAGCATGCTTAGTGTGGGGGATTGTATTTGAGTCAATGAGTCTATGCAATCAACTGGTTTTCCTTAGATAGAAAACTTTGTATCGATTTGACTGCATGATCTGGTTGAACTGTAAAGTGCCTTGAGATGACATGTGTTGTGAATTTGGCGCTATATAAATAAACTGAATTGAATTGTATTTAATTCTTGTAGAACTTTACATGTCACTCCACAAGGTTCTAGGAGAAACCTTGATGTTTTCTTTGGACATGGAGTTCTGGCTTTAAACTAAACATTTAAAGAACCAAACCAATGGCCCAGCAGGTCCTGCCATTTCTTCAAGGGATCTTTTTTATCCTTCTTCTGATTGACACTGTTGAACAATGGCAATGATTTGATCATTTGGTTTGCTTCTACTTCAGGTTGAAAAGACAAGCTATCTGGACATTTCTACCAGAAGCAATGAACTTCGCTCCAGGTTAATCAGATTTAAGACAAGACGGTGTTGACTATAGACAGATGAAGGTAGGTCAAAGTATTCATTTAATGATGTCCACAGCTTTACAGCCAGGTCACTCCAGCTTTAATTTTTAAATTCCTCCTGTTGAATAGATTTGCTTTAATTTGTGGGAGCTGTGCCACATTAAAGATGCAAAACAATTGGAAATGGTTTATTTAGGTGTTTTTTTGTTCTTTTTACGTCGTAGTGAAGCGGCTGTTCCAAAGGATGCAGTTCAAAATTCTCACGAGTAGTGCACGAGTTCACACGAGTGAATAAAGTGAATGTGGTTGATTATCAAGGCGGTGGGATTGTTGTGGTGGAGGGTTTGCAAGCAAGTTTGGTTGTGGCTGGTTTGTCAAAAGAACTTGCTAACCAGTTAGCAACTTAGTGCTAGCAGGTTCCCAATGGGAAATTCCATTGGGACCAAGTAGCACTAAATTGGTGACTTAGAAACGACACTGTCAAGGAACGCTATGGACAGAGGAAACATGCAAGAGGAGGAGAGTTTAGTGTCGGAGGTCGTGGATGAGTCTCCTCTGTCAGACATTTTTTTATTTAGAGGAGGAAAGCGGGGACGAAGATGTTGTTGAAGAGGACGCCAGGGCGGCAGAAGCTTGGTTTGGTGTAGAAGGCTTCCAGCCGTACATGTTTGAGCCCTTGCTTCGCAACACTGCCAGTTCTGTTAGCTCTACGCCTGCTAAAGACACAGACGTCCATCTCCGTGAACACTGGGACGGAACTCAATGGGAAAGGAAATGATTCTGATTTCTTATTTCAACCGTTGCGTATATCAGCTGCGACATATGAATCAAGATGCTATGACTGAGGAAATTTAATTGACAGATGATCATTGATATATGATTGGCCGAATTTAAGGTGTACAAGCTGACATATAACTAACTGGCCTGCATAAGATAATGAAAAAAAAAACACAGATATTAAGACAGGATTTTGTTTTTTAAATAGAAATTTTCAAAATTTTGGGACAATATAGTCTGATAAAGAGCACATTTATATAAATGTTTAAGCTAGAATGATTAGAAATTGAATATGACTTCCCTACGACCTTAAGTGGCGTGAATTGTTTTCAGAGTCAGTGAGTCCCTGTTATAGGAGGACTCAGACCACATCTGAACCAGAACTGTTTATGTTTAAATTAACCAAGTGAGCTAAATCTGATCAACATCTGAGTCTGACTGCGTTGAATGTTGAAACACGTCTCTGATTCCAGATGTTATGCTTCTGATTCCACATTTAGTGGACTTTAATATTTCCCCAAGATGACAGAGTGGCTCCTGCTGGAACGAATGCAGGCCGTACAGCCGTCCTTGGGAGAATCCTGCAGCCCTGATCCCCACCACCACAGCACTGATCAGGAATATATAGCAGAAGGTTGGAGATAGAGCAGGATCCTGGGATGTGACCCAGATGACACACATGATCACACACAGATGCCTCCAGGACACACACACACACACTAAGCCACTTACTGTCCTGACTGTGGGTGGATCCACCCCTGATCTGACCTGATCCCTCTTCTCATCACAACCATCCACACCTACCTGGCTGCCGGCTTGTGGAAGCTGAGGGAACAGATTCAGGCTGGTTGGTCTCTTTGGTCGGTATTTGTCCATGACAGCACAGGTGGTTCCTCCTCTGTTAGCGACAGCTTCCTCCCTCCTCCTCCTCCTCCTTTATTAATCCACCGTCGGACGCTCCTCTGCTCGGACAAGGCCTCCCCCACCCTCCTCTACCTCCCTGTGATCTCTTCCTCCTCAGTCCTCTGAGCATCGATCAGCTCTGAGCTCCTACTCTGGCCACACCCCTCTACCCCAGTGATTGGTCCTCCACAGCCTCACATCATCTTCAGCAACATCACAGAGAGGAAGAGGGAGAGGAGGCGGATGGTGCTGAGTGGTGATGGAGGTAATCAGGACTGAGAGGGAGCAAAGGAGGAGGAGATGAGTTAGAGATACAGGGAGGAAGAGGAGGGGGAGGAAGTCAGTGGCAGCCAATCAGAGCGATGCATGACATCATCAGCTGATCTGCCTTCAGGCTACCAAACATGCAGAGAGTGACTCAGAGAAACAAGATTAGAGAGCAACACTGGGCGGGACAAAGGCAGCAAGCAGTCAGCGAAGCAGGCGGGAAGCTGTGTGATGACTGGGAACCAGTCTGACTGAAACCAGTTTCACTGAACATGAAGAAGGTTGCCATTTGACCAAAGGTCTGATAACTGGGAACCAGCCTGTCACTCTGTCTCAGGCACATTGGACTAAAGATGGAGGCAGCAACCAGTTGGAAAACCAGCCATCAAACAGTCATTCAGTTGGCACCTGTTCACCTTTCTGCTGAGAACCAGCCAGTCAGTCCTTCCTAAACCTGTTAAAAGTCAAACTTCCATCTGGTTAACAGTCAGTAAAACCAATTTACAAGATGTTTTAAAATGTACAGCTTTACACCCTTTGAGGCCAAAACCAGTTCAGTGAGAAACAACCAGTCGGCTGGACTGAAACTAGTCAGTAAAACGGCCAGAAACCAGCTAACCAGAACACTTCCGCAGTAACCAGTCAGGAAAAAGTCATTTCACTAAAAACCTGTCAGTGACTCAGAAACTGAATACATGGTAACTGGGAACCAGTCATTTAGCATGACATGATCTAAAAAAACAGTTTGCAAGCCTCCAGTCAGTCAGTATGAGCAACAAACAGGACCGGTCAGAGGAATTTTCCTCTCAGCTGACTCTGCTGTAAAGGTTCTCCTGGATCTTCCTGATGATCACAGTTTTTGGTAGGGATGCACGATATTGGGATTTTGGCCAATATCCGATATGCCGATATTTTAAAACTCATGTAGCCGATAACCGATATCGATACCAATGTTAAAGCTGGACAAAAATAAGTAGTCATTGAAAATAGCAGTTTTGTTATCCATTTCTGACACTTTGAAAAATAATATACTCAAATATATTTTCATATGCTGATATCGAATAGATTTTTAAAAACGCGGTATCGATCTATTTTACTTTCAAAATCTCCTGAAATTTCATCGTTCTGTTACAAACTCTCGTGATATTTTGCAAATTCTTGTGAGATTTTGTTAGTTAAATAGATCGATACCGCGTCAATATATCAACATATAAAAATATGGCAAAATTTCATGAATTTTTGGGGGATTTCGTAGCATAACGATGACATATAGCAATATTTCATTAGTAAAGAGATTGATATGGTGTTTTTAAATTGCAATATATCAGCATATGAAGATATTGTGATATTTTAATGTATCAATATTTTTTCCCTCGTCTTTAGAACTTTTTAAGCCTGTAAAAAATAAGTTTTTGAGGAAGGAGAAGTAGTATTTTTTTTTTTTTTTTTAGACTTTAGAAACTCAGAAGCTGATCAAATATCGGGTTAAATATCAGTGGGGTGGCCGATGTCCGATATTCAGTTTTAAGGCCGATACAGGCCGATAGCGATAGGGGGCCGATTATATCGTGCATCCGTAGTTTTTGATTATTTGGCTCCATGATAACAATCATGTCAGTGCTTTAAGAGTCTGCCTTGTAGGGTGCCACAGGGGTCAGTTGTAGGACCTTTTCTTTCTTTTTTTGATAATTGTTATGGCCAAACCCATGGCCACACCTTAAGTCTGGACTATACATGCACCTTTATTTATTTAATCCATACACATACTTTAGTTTGCAATAAAGCGTTATTCTTAGTTCAAATGCATGTTGTAATGGCGATTGTTGGTCAAACCAAACATCCAATAAAGTTCCAATAAGCCACTACTTAGGCACTGGGGTCACGTTTTCTTTACGCATGCAAAAGAAGTTAAAGTCCAAACTTGTAGATGTTCAGTTGATTTATTTCCTATATTTTAGCAACATTACAGAGTTCAAACATTCCCTTGCTCTGTCACCTCTCTTGCGCTGGTAAAAACCCATAGGCCCCTAACCCAAATGCCTGCTGGTCCTTACCAGGCTGCTACAATTATAGAAAGTGGACCGCCCACATTTCTTCCTGTTTTACTTAAAATAAAGAAAGAAAAAATGATAAAACAACAAAAAATAAATACACAAAATTCAACAATTAACCTATAAATAAAGTCTGTAAATAATACAAAAAATATCTAAGTTTAGGAATTAACACAATTCAAATGGATAAAAAAAATAAAGAATAAATAGCTCCAACACATGTGTTCTATTTGTAAGGGCGCACATTTAGTTCACTGTATTTGTTTGCACTCATTCATATTCCTGTTTTTGTCACTAATCTGCTTCTTAGCTATGGTGCCTAGGAGTTTGGCCAGACAAGAGATGGCAGCCAGGGTTCAGATCTGCTAAATGCAGGAGGGGAAATTGGACTGTTCCATCAGCTGCTGCTTAAAAGGGGGAATTAGAATTTTCCTTGGTTGCTACAGACTATGCTAGAAGATATCCCGAAGTCTGCTGCTTAAAGGGGGGAAATTAAAACTTTCCTTTCCTTATTTCTTGCATTTTTCACTTAGATATTGTTTTGTGGTTGGTGTTTTCATTTTTCTAAGATATAGATTCGTTTTTTGCCAAACCTAACTGTACTGCCAATGTTTGTCGTTTGTGGTTGTTTGTTTAGTTTGAATTACCCCTATTGTGTTTATGGTCTGGTCAGCCAGTGTATTTATATATATACCGTATATACCCTTGTGTGTCATTTCTTTGTTAGGTCAGTTATGTTTGATTATGCAGCGAGTTAGTTTGGGCACAGTTTGCTTGAGTTACATTTTCTCTTTTTGGTTGACCTCTTTAATGACTTGAACCCATGTATTTTTTGTAAGTTTTTTTTTTTTTTTTAGGTTAAAAAAAAAATATATATATTTTTGTATTAATTCCTGTGACTCCTCATGCTTTTTACCGCAGTCCCTCACATACAGGTGCTGGTCATAAAATTAGAATATCATGAAAAAGTAGATTGATTTCAGTAATTCCATTTAAAAAGTGAAACTTGTATATTATATTCATACATTACATACAAACTCATATATTTCAGATGTTTATTTTGTTTAATTTTGATGATTACAAATGACAACAAATGAAAATCTCAAATTCATCATATCAGAAAATTAGAATATTGTGAAAAGGTTCAAAATTGATGGCCCCTGGTGCCACACTCTAATCAGCTAATTAACTCAAACCACCTGCAAAAGCCTTTAAATGGTCTTTCAGTCTAGTTCTATAGGCTACACAATCATGGGGAAGACTGCTGACTTGACAGTTGTCCAAAAGACGACCATCGACACCTTGCACAAGGAGGGCAAGACACAAAAGGTCATCGCTAAAGAGGCTGGCTGTTCACAGAGCTCAGTGTCCAAGCACATTAATAGAGAGGCGAAGGGAAGGAAAAGATGTGGTCGAAAAAAGTGTACAAGCAAGAGAGATAACCGCACCCTGGAGAGGATTGTGAAACAAAACCCATTCAAAAATGTGGGGGAGATTCACAAAGAGTGGACTGCAGCTGGAGTGAGTGCTTCAAGAACCACCACACACAGACGTATGAAAGACATGGGTTTCTGCTGTCGCATTCCTTGTGTCAAGCCACTCTTGAACCACAGACAGCGTCAGAAGCGTCTTGCCTGGGCTAAAGAGAAACAGGACTGGACTGCTGGTGAGTGGTCCAAAGTCATGTTCTCTGATGAAAGTAAATTTTGCATTTCCTTTGGAAATCAAGGTCCCAGAGTCTGGAGGAAAAGAAGAGAGGCACTTCATCCACGTTGCTTGAAGTCCAGTGTAAAGTTTCCACAGTCAGTGATGGTTTGGGGTGCCATGTCATCTGCTGGTGTTGGTCCATTGTGTTTTCTGAGGTCCAGGGTCAACGCAGCCACATACCAGGAAGTTTTAGAGCACTTCATGCTTCCTGCAGCTGACCAACTTTTTGGAGATGCAGATTTCATTTTCCAACAGGACTTGGCACCTGCACACAGTGCCAAAGCTACCAGTACCTGGTTGAAGGACCATGGTATCCCTGTTCTTAATTGGCCAGCAAACTCTCCTGACCTTAACCCCATAGAAAATCTATGGGGTATTGTGAAGAAGAAGATGCAATACACCAGACCCAACAATTCAGAAGAGCTAAAAGCCACTATTAGAGCAACCTGGGCTATCATAACACCTGAGCAGTGCCACAGACTGATCGACTCCATGCCACGCCGCATTGCTGCAGTAATACAGGCCAAAGGAGGCCCAACTAAATACTGAGTGCTGTACATGCTCATACTTTTCATGTTCATACTTTTCAGTTGGCCAACATTTCTATAAATCCTTTGTTTTTATTGGTCTTCAGTAATATTCTAATTTTCTGATATGATGAATTTGAGATTTTCATTTGTTGTCATTTGTAATCATCAAAATTAAACAAAATAAACATCTGAAATATATGAGTTTGTATGTAATGTATGAATATAATATACAAGTTTCACTTTTTAAATGGAATTACTGAAATCAATCTACTTTTTCATGATATTCTAATTTTATGACCAGCACCTGTAATGCTTCTAGTTAGAGTTACTCAGGTTATCCTGAGCTATCTCTATAGTTATGCTGCTATAAGCTTAGACTGCTGGAGGACAAAGGGACCCCTATTCATAATTCTGCTTCATTCTATTCTCCCATTCTGCTGTATTCTTTAGTTCAATCTCTAACGTTCTGCTCTCTCTGCTTTTTCTCATAGTAGCTTCGTTTGGTCTGTTCCCATTTGGCTGTGACTCCATCCTGGAGAGAAAAATCAACTGTGCTGCTTCCATCAATCAGTCAGTCGACTTTATTTCTATACCACGTTTAAAAACCGCAGCGTTAACTAAAGTCCTCTATATAAAACAAGTTAAGAGTAAATAAACAAGATTAGACAATT